AAGAGAAGAGGAAAAAAAACAGTGAAAACATTTGTTCAAGTGACAAGAGGCTGGTAAAAACAATTAGCACCTGCATTGTTTGGTTGGTGGGGTAAGTCAGTCATTAGGAAGTGGAAGATAGTGTGCGAGCCAGCCCATCTCTTTCTTCATTCCATTCGGCTAAGAATTAAACTTGTAAATGAAGTTAAGTTCCAACCTTGCCCTGTGTATTTGGCATGTGGAATTGGACATTTGTTCAAGTGACAAGAGGCTGGTAAAAACAATTAGCACCTGCATTGTTTGGTTGGTGGGGTAAGTCAGTCATTAGGAAGTGGAAGATAGTGTGCGAGCCAGCCCATCTCTTTCTTCATTCCATTCGGCTAAGAATTAAACTTGTAAATGAAGTTAAGTTCCAACCTTGCCCTGTGTATTTGGCATGTGGAATTGGCCTGAAACACCACAATGACTGGGAGAGCCATATTATTCATTTTTTTAATGTCTATTGTAAGTGCTAGTTGTGTATTTATAGTGGAAATGGGTGAGAGAAATCTAGAAAAAAATAACTGCAGTTAGGAAGACTGAATAATAAAGTTTCAGTATTGTTCAATATAGTGCTGATAAAGTCTTGTAGTCTCTCCTCCTTTGGAATCAAGCAGAAAAGTAAAATTTTCCACATGAATCCATGGCTGAGAAAAGCCAGGCATCTCCCTCTCCCCCCTAAAAAAATTAAGTTGTGCATTGCAACATGAAGGCCACCCACATACTGTTTCAGCAAACATACAGTGCCTGTCTAGAGACCATGAAAGATTTTTTTTTAAAAAGTTTCTAGACTAGCATGTAACTTAGTTTTGTACTTGGGCTGACATCTTTTAGTGTGTTTTTTTTTAAATGTGGATAAAAGCAACATATTATGATTGTGTTGGAAAGGCAGTTTCAATTCTCAGCCCTGCTTATCTGAAATTGCAATTTTTTCCAGTTTCCATTTTGTTGGGGAGTACATTGTCTCATTTGTAGAAATATTGTAATTGCTGTTGTATGAACCAGATGGAGCTTCTGTTATTGAGAATGGCCAATACCAAATGCTTCAAACGGAAAGTGCGAGAAACCGCTCGTGTAACTGAAGAATAACCAATCTATAGCAGAAATTTCTTCCTAATTTTCGGCTTGGTTTCTTGCTGACGTAAGAGTAGGTGAGCTTTCTATCGACAAGTATGCAACAATGAAACAGCGCCATAGTCTGAGGTTGAAAGGACTGTCGGGGGCCAGCCGTAGATTTTTCTCTTTGCTGTGTAGACATACTCTTAGGCTTTGTCTACACTGCAGGGTTTTTGCGCAAGAAGCTTTTTGTGGAAAACTTCGAGCAAAAGCACGTCAACCTCAAAAGTGCATCGCAAAAGTGATGTGCTTTTGCACAAGAAAGCTCTGATTGCTGTTAACAGAATGGCCATCAGAGCACCTGTCCTTTTTCTGATAGGTTTCTTGTGCACAAGAAACCATTGTTGTCCATCCACATCTGCCTTTTTGTGCAAGAGCAGTAGCACAAAAAGGAGTTATTCCTCATGGGGAGAGGAATAATTCTACCAGCAAAGGCCCTCTTGTCCGGTTGATTTACTGTATTTTTTGTGCGCGCAAAAGTGTGCTTGAGGTGTGGATGCTCTGCTGGTTTTTGCACAAAAACCTTGTAGTGTAGACATAGCCTCTGAGGAACAATCACACAGAAAGGAAAGATTCTAGTCAGAACTCTAAAACTGGAGCACTGTTGCAATAATTTATGTTCCCAGATAAAGAAACTGTTGCAGTCAGGCACCAACTGAGCACAATGGAAACAAAATCAAGTATTAGTTGAAAAATATTAGAGTTCTCTTCCAAACATTCTGCCTTCTTATGATCCATCACACAGTCCAAGTTCTTCATAGTCAATGTTGTGGCTGCAC